CATATAAAACATATAATAATTATACACATATATAGATATATATGTATCATATGTATATATAAATATATTTATATATGTATATAATTTTAAATTTTTTATAAACATGTTTTTATATGTGTATAATTTTTATGAATATATATAATTTTTAAATTTTCATTTTTATTATTATTATTTTATTTTTATTTTTATTAATTAATATTATTAAATATTAGAGATTGATGATGTGGAAGATGACTAGGATGCTATGTCAGCATTAAATAATATTGTTTTTCGTTCAGGATTTTATTTACCAATTTTTAAAAGTATAGAGTTTTAATTACCAATTTTTAAAAGTATAATATTTTTTTGGATAAAAAAAAGTATAGGGTTTAAATTGAGACGAAAGAAAAGTATAGGGTTTTAAATAGAATTATCCCTTTTATTTATTACATATCGCGATTTTCTAACAAATAGCACAAGGAAATCGAGGACCAATCAGATTCCATATGGGTCCATTAGGAAATATTTTATAAATTAAAAATATATATAAATCCCTCGAAAGGTTAGATGTTACGCAATATTCCAATCGTTGGAGATCTATATAAAGATGATTAAAAAAAACACGTAGTATTGATTTCGGAATATCAGATATGCATTATTCATATCCATATGATATATCTAGAAAATATTTAAAATATAATTACTATTTATAATAGTAGTTTTTTTAATAAATAAAAAAAATGGGGCCCTTGTTACATCACATCGCTCCAGCGTGAAAAAGCTGATACGTATCAATCAATTATTATTATTACTGAGATATAAGAAACAATACGTGGCACATTCCACTGTTGTTGGCATATGTATACAAAGTACAATCAGAATTAATTAATTTCACAATATAACTTATGATTTCCAATCTAGGGAAATTTCTTAAACTATATAGTACGTAGATTATTTTAACAAGACAAAATAGCATATAGATATTCAAACTTTTACAAAAATCTTAAATAAATACTTCAATTATAAAATTATCATATAAATATCTTAACTTTTCAAAAATACCATATAAATATCTTAATTTTTTAATTTTTTAAATAAATCAATTTTCGTTGATGAGAGTAAACGTGAAAGGATAAAAAATAATAATGACCCGTTTTCGGAATTCCTAATAAGTAATAAGCATCCAAATAATTGGTCACGTAAGATAAATCGATTTAGTTAGACTAATATATAATTGATTTTAGATTTAAATGGAATTTATATCGAATTTAAACAATGTTTTAGAGCACACAAATGTAACAAAATTTTATGATTTATGTAATCTATGTGAAAGTGTGAGAGATTTCTTCATTGATTTTAATGGCTGGTTCAAACGAAAATGATCTTATATTTCAATTTATATGCTATAAATACACATTACTATATATTTATGGTAATTAATTTCAAAAAGATTATTACATCGAAGTTTTAGATTGTAATTAATTAGCGTAAGATTCGTTCAAACTTTAATTATAGACTTATAGTCCTCGTAGTTTTCAATCGATACAACAACAAAATAATTCATTTAAACTATATTCCAAAAACTCAACCATTTTCAGGCACACAGACACGCGCACATGGACGGACCCAATTTGATATGAACATAACATATACCCCCATTTGTTTGATTAAAAAGAATGTTTTATTCATAAAATTTCTCATATTTTAACCAAATTTTATAAATACCCCATTATAAAATTATATTTGTCACGTGTTAAAATTACATTTGCCCTCAATAAGAACTTTTTCTAGGTCCACTACTGTGTACACGCATATATATGTATATAATAATATAATATACATAAAAAACACTTTCTTATAAAAGTGAGTTTCATCTAAAATTCCATTTGATATATATTTTTTTCTAAAATCTCATTAATTAAATATAAATATATACAAAATGGAACGAAAATGATAATTTTATAAAAAATTACATTTATAAAAACCTAAATCTAAATAGACACCAAAGCAATCATAATATGCCATAAAATTCGAATAAATGCACTTTTTATTACAAAAATTGAACTAAAAATATAATGTTCACCCTAATGTTAACATCTATCATTTTCAACGTTTTGTATACTTAAAGCATTGGATACCAAATTGTTGCCTGCAGATAAAAAAGGAGTTCGTAGACTTAGAAACAGAAAAAAAAATGGTTTATATTTTTGTTTAAAAAAATTAGTTTTGAAATTTGAAGACCATTATAAATTATTGAAAAAAAATTCATTAAAAATCCTATATTTTTCAGATTTTCACCCTAATGTTCATCCTAATGTTAATCGTTTAAAGATTTAATTGTCAATTTTTTAAAAATAAAAATATTTTATTGTTAAATATAAATAAATATAGAATTTAACGAGATAAAAAAAATACAGATTATAACTGAGAAGATAGAAAAATACTTAGTTAAAAAACGAAATTTTCATTAAATTATAATAGTAAAAATGGAAACATGGAATGATTTTGTCGATGTTTTCTTGGCTTTACGAATTACTACTCTTTCCAATATGTGGAGGCCCACATCTCTCCCTATTATTATTAGCCCCATTTATTTAAATTTACGCGTACGATTCTATACATACATATATATATATATATATATATATATAGAGAGAGAGAGAGAGAGAGAGATGAAACAAACCAAAATATAAAATAAAACAATTTTATTACATAAGACTACTACATCTTTTTTTTTTGTGTGAAGGATTTACTTAAGCCTTTCGTCAATAAATCTTCCAAGAACCAAACATAAAACTGTAAAATAAATAATATTATTTTATGACGAGATTCGAATTTGTATGGACATAATACTTTGCTTAAGTTAGGTTTGTATTTTTGATATCACAATCAATAATTTTATTTTTGTTTTTAAAATAATATGTCATAATAATGTAGCGTACAAAAATTACTTATTCATAATACGTATATATACATATATATATATATATGTATGCAATACGATATACAAGTGTATATATATATATATAACAAAAAGGTTGGTAATGTTCCCAACAAACGATAAGCACAACTTTTAACAGCATGGAGTTTCTTTGAGTTACAGGGAAACCATAGCCATTATTTTGTGTCTCAAGGCTCTCTCTCTCTCTTTTTTGTCGGGAAAAAAACATTTATTAAGAAAAAAAGGTTGATAATTTTAATTACAATTCTGATTTAATATAAATGGCTTGATTGATGATTGATTAATGTAATGTGCTTCAAAATTTTACTAGTTAAAGGTGTATACAAACACAAAAGCATAATTAGCATATAGTATAATTAAGATTGTTAACTACATTTAGTGAATCACAATGATAAAATAATAAAATTGTCTTGTAAGGGAAATAATTATTTTAAATTAATGATGTTGGACCGACTGCTCTAGAGTTGATACTTAAGTGTTCACGTTAGATTGTCAGAGATTATAATTCAAGTCAATTGGGGACCCATTTAATTATCAACCGCATCTGCAACCGACAGTATTCTCATCAAATCTAATTTATAAAAAAAAATGGTTATGTACGTAAACTAATGACATTTACACATAAAAACAAATTTATAAAAAAGATTGATTTTATGCAATAATAAAAGATTACAAGATCCATTGTTACCATTAAAAGAAGGAATCATGCCCTATGCGTCGGTGTAATAACGGTTAAATTTTATAAAAAAAACGTTTACTGGATCCAAAGATACCATTAAAAAAGAACGATTTTACGCTAATAAAAGAATGCTGGATTCATTGTTACCACTAAAAATGGGAACCTTATGCCGTATGCGTTGATGTAATAATATATATATATATATATAATGAAGACATGTCGAGTAGTACGTCGAATGCAACTATATAAACATGTATAATGAGCATATATGAGGACAGCCAAACCACGCATCTAATCATATATTCTCCATATATCACCTCCCTCCCCAAAGAAAACGAAAACCATCCTCCTCCGGCCGTGGACGTGATCAAAGATGGTCTCCGACATGTCTCCGAACAGATCAAGAACGGTGTGTGTGATCGGAGCCGGACCGTCGGGGCTCGTCTCGGCGAGAGAGCTAAGGAAAGAAGGGCACAAGGTGGTGGTCATGGAGCAAAGCCACGACGTCGGAGGGCAATGGCTGTATAACCCTAGCGTCGAAGAAGAAGACCCTTTAGGGAGGTCCATCGACGAAAACGATCCTTTCCTCAAAGTCCACAGCAGTGTCTACTCTTCTCTGAGGCTCACGTCTCCGAGAGAGATAATGGGTTATTCCGATTTTCCGTTTTTGGTGAAGAAAGGGAGAGATATGAGGAGATTTCCGGGGCATAAGGAGCTTTGGCGGTATCTGAGGGATTTTTGCGAGTTTTTTGGGTTAAGGGATCTGATTAGGTTTAACGTGAGGGTTGATTACGTGGGGATTGCCAATGATGGTTTGGTTTTGGGGGATGAGGACAGGAGATGGGTTGTGAGGTGTAGAGACAAGTTTAGTGGCAAGGTTTCGGAAGAGGTTTTTGACGCTGTTGTTGTTGCCACCGGCCATTACTCTTACCCTAGACTCCCCTCCATCAAGGGTATGTATTCACGTAGATGTATGAGTATTTATACGCGTATGCATGCATGTATCGAATCTAGCTATAACCCTCTTATATATATGTATATACATATCGGTATTGAATCAATTTGTTTGTTGTTCCTCTTGCAGGAATGGATTCGTGGAAGAGGAAGCAACTTCATAGCCACGTCTATAGGAAACCGGAGCCATTTCGTAACGAGGTAAAATATTTGAATTTTTTTACATATATATGAATTGATATATAATTAACGGTAATCCTTGAGATAATTAAAACAAGGGATTAGCTGGGGAAATTAAGATGGATGAATGATTAGAGAAATTAATTAATTAAAACAAAAAAGAAATGCGGATTAGGTGGTGGTGGTGGTTGGGAGCTCATTGAGTGGGCAAGACATATCAATGGAGCTTGTGGGAGTGGCAAAGGAGGTTCACCTAAGCGCCAAATCCCTCGACATAACTCAAGGCTTATCCAAAGTCATTTCCAAGCACCACAACCTCCATCTTCATCCACAGGTATATTATATATATATATACACACATATATATTAGCTTATATATATTATATGTGTGGATTTACATACATGGGTTTGCTCTTAATATTATGTGATTGCTTTTAATTGTTTTATATTTCATTTATTTTGTAGATTGAATCTCTCGAGGGCGATGGACGAGTCGTGTTCGTGGATGGATCTTGGACCGTAGCGGATACTATTTTATATTGCACCGGGTAAGAAATCAAACATAAATTATATGATAATGATTCTTCTCTGTTATAAATTAAATGACGATATTAGATTAAGACAACATACATACGTTTTTAATGCGATTTGGGGGGTACTTTTTACACTTTTGTTTCCGTTATTGAAGGCAAAAAGGGATTAAAAAAGCGATTGATTGATTGATTAATCAGCAATTAACCGAGTTAATTATGGATTACTACGAGGGCTTGAAAGATTAATCCATAAAAAGAACAGATATTAGTGGAGAAGTCAAAAAGTTTCAAATGTTAAATCAAGGATTACTTTTATGTATCTTAAAGATTGCAGGGTTTCATCATCGGGATTTGTGTCTTTATGGTAATTGTAATTAAATATTTGTCAAATAAATATAATTTGGACGATACAAATTACTCGGATTTTCTTTCGTTTTACTTATAATTTTTTCTAACGATTACTTTTGCCTATATATTAATGAATTTCTTTTGGCAATATATAATGTTTGAATACGCAAGCAATATAATGCTTGTTGGACAAAACGCTCCAAAAACAATTTCATCATAGACACAAATAAATAATAGTGGCATTGTGGGACATATAATATGTCCCATGAGATAGGCTACAAATCTATCCACGTGATTCTTGGGGCCATCATTCCTTTTTCTCTAAAAATGTAACCACAGCTTTTATAAATTAATAATATAAGTTTTAAAGACAAATAAATAACTATAAAATATGTTTCTTTCATTATAAGTAATTGTACTTTTTTTTAAATATAAAAAAAAATTGTGAAGGTATTCGTACAAATTCCCGTTCCTTGATACGAAAGGAAGAGTGGGAGTGGATGATGATAGAGTGGGACCTCTCTTCGAACACACTTTCCCTCCGTCGCTCGCCCCTTCTCTCTCCTTTGTCGGAATCCCCCGAAAGGTAAATAATTTATTTACTTGTATATAATTCACCCCAACAACCAAGATGAAAACTCTGACGTGGGTTCTGCATGCATGCATGCATGCAGTTGATAGGATTTCCGTTTTTCGAGGCGCAAGCGAAATGGGTGGCGCAAGTGCTGTCCGGCAAAAGGTCGCTCCCTTCGAGAGCCCAAATGATGGAATCCATCGTCGAGTTCTATCGCTCGTTGGATTCCAAAGGCGTCCCCAAACACAACACCCACGACATCGCCGACTTCACGGTTGGTTGTTAATTTTTGTCTCTCCTTTGGTTTTACGTTATGAAATCAATCGGGTATACACTTATTTATTTTTTGTCTTGGTGTGTGTGTGTGTATATATATATATGTATGTATAGTATTGTGATAAGTATGCGGACTACGTGGGGTTTCAACATCTGGAGGAATGGAGGAAGCAGCTGTGTCTGTCGGCGTTGGAGAATTCGTTGGAGAATCTGGAAACTTACAAAGATTCTTGGGATGACGATGAACTCGTCCAAGAAGCTCTTCGAAGCCCTCATTTCACACAGCTCAACCACATCCACAACTGATGATGATGATCCCTTTTATTATATCCGTCAAAGCTATATTTCACTTTTGGTGGACTCGTGTTTTTTCTTTTTTATATATATGGAATTGTTCTAAGTTAATACAAGATACATAAACCCCAATGGGTCAGTTTTTGTTTTGTGGATCTATACAGCCGATCTCTCTCTCTCTCTCTCTCTATATATATATAAGTATCTTTAGTTGATCATGTCTTGAACATATCTAACATCGTATATCTAGAGGACAGCTTCTCTGCTGCAAAGATTGATATTGAATTTGGGGGGGGGGGGGGGCCT